TGAAAGATGGCAGTTACCATGAGTAGCATCATCACAGACACTGCAGAATGCCTTTCCTGGGGTCTCCCAGCCCTAGCACACAAATTGTACACAGAGTTTCCTGGGGAGCTGGTATGTGAATGGTTGACTGAACACTGCCCCTGCTCTGCCCCTCAGAGCTGGTGTGGGAGTAAACCCAGAACCTTCCCTTTGGAGGACAAATGGCAGATATTAGAAAGTTCGTCCACTTGAAAAGGAAAGTAATCTTGCTCAAACTAGCTGAATCAGAATGGCAGTCTGTCAGGGGAGACAGAGAAACCACACAGTCCTTCACTTCAGGAGGGACAGCTGGGCTACATGGAGCCAGAGAACACTCAGGCATCTGTCTGTCCTGATCTCCCAGCTGGCTTCCTGTGGCTTCTCATCCCAGCTTCCCTGGGCAAAGTTTTGAGACCTGTGCCCAGGCTGAGTGGTCGGGAAGGGTGGATACAGGTAGAGGGGTGTAGCTGCATGTCCACGGCAAAGGCTGTTGTCAGGAGCCTGGCACAGTTGTAACATGTGAAAACTGTATCTTAAAAGATGACCTTGACCATACACGCTGAGCACACCTAATCCAAACACCAGAAATCTGAAAGGCACCACCGCCAAAACTTTTCTGAACAGTGATAGGACGCCTTTCACACATCCAGGCATAACTTCTCACAATCAGCTCCAGACTGTGTGTCTACGGCATGTTTGAAATATAAATTTTGTGTTTGGACTAGACTCCTGTCCTCAAGGTACTTCATTATGTATATATGTGAATGTTCCAAATGTAATAAATCTGAAGTCAGAAACTCTTCTGGTCCCACCATAGTTAAGAAATTGAACCTATATTTACATCTTGGGCTGGCTTTGCAGGGGGTCTGACCATTTGCAGCGTTTATGAAGGCAGGCTTCTGAAGCATGCTTTATTGTAACCATCTGCAGACATCCACTGGGATGTGTTTACCTTTGTTCTCCAGCAAAGCTCAGGCAGAGGCCCTTGTAAATAATGCTTCCTTCCGGCTTCCTTCCCCTGGGGAATCCCAATGGGTAATTAGCAGGAGCATCACATGACCCACAGGAAGCTCTCTCAAACACATGTGAGGTTTGAAGATGCTTCAGTAAAATGCGTTTCACAGCGGGGTCAGTGTGGGGAAATGAATCCGAGCAAAATGATGGGAGCAAGCAGCTGTTCGCCTGTGCTCATACCAGTGAGCGATCCCCATCAGAGTGTCAGGGAAGACGAAGATGAGACATGTCCCAGTGCCAGCATTCAAAAACCACTTCACAAAATAACCTCTACACCCCTAAAAGTAATATTTACAATACACATCTAAAGTAATGATTTAGTGTCTTTTTCACCCATTTTTTTTTTAATTACTTGACAAAGTAGGCAAAGACGTGCTTTTGTGGGCAGTTACCATCGAAACAGTACCTAACTGTCTCTCCTATTTGACAGCTCTCACGCAACAACAACTGCTTCCCATTTTCGTTTTGCTTAATTTTCTATCAGCCTTTCCGAGAAGGCCTCTTCCAGTGTACTAGAGTTCAAATACGTTAGGCTCCGAGTCGTAATGTGCTCTGTATTCTGTGATAAATGGGGGCCATTTCTTCTCATTCCGAGCATTCTCCGAGTTCCTCCGAAGATAATGTTGTTTGTTACACCACACAGAGCCAGCTTTCCATATGCCCTATGGGAACAGAAGGGCAAGAGACCGCTATGGGAAGTGGGTGCCTCTACGGTGCCCCAGATTAAGAGTGGCAGGGAGTAGGGAGCCAGTCATCCTGTTAACATCTATCTGTGTTATGAATTATACACATGTGGGGAACCCCTAGCTGGCCGGGGCGGGGGCGGGGACACTTGCTGCCATGCTGGGCAGATGCACACCATGCAGTCATGGTGGCGGTGGCTGCGGCCATTAATTCACAACCCAGATGCTGAATCCACATGGAGAGTTTATTATAATAGAGAGATGAAGAGAAAGATAGGAAAGAGGAAGAGAAGAGAGAAAGAGAGGAAGAGAGAGAGAAAGGTCGAGGGGTGCACACCTCCTAGAGGAAAAGGAAAGAGAGAGAGAGAGAGAGAGAGAGAGAGAGAGAGAGATGGAGTTTTTCCTTAAAAAGAGGCTTTTACATCAGGATGTAGGGTGGCACCAAGGGGTGGGATTTCAAGGCGGAGTGGATCAGAATATTAACAACCTGAATAGTCCTAGCTACTTAGGAGACTGAGGCAAAGAGATCCCATGAACCCAGGAGTTCCAGGCTAGCCTGGGCTACATAGTGAGACACCCCCCATGGGGAGGAGGAGATATTGTTAGATTTTCAGTGTTCCTATTGCTTTCAATTGGGACAACACTCAGCCACTCAAAAGGTAAGTGCAGACCAGTGAAAACTGTAACACGCAGGAGTGATTTTGACTCTCTCCAACGGGAGTGTTTCACCTCAACACAATTTGAAAGTCTGCAGCTTGCTGGTTTAGCGTCTTGCACGCCCAGATGGACAGTGAAAGTTGGCCAGTCTCTGCAAATGGCCCCTTTGTGCAACTGCCTGCTTCCTTGTGAATTTCGGACCCGATGCATTCCGTGCCCTCATTAGCTTTATTTAAAAACCTATCATTGCCTGGAGACACCTGGGTCCATCCACAGACCGTGAATAATTGCAAGAATTGAACAAAATTAAGCACCCAGGATCATCAGAGGTGGCTTTGCGCAAGGATAAAGCGCAGCTGGCGCCCTCTTAGAAGGTGAATTGAGACTAATTGGATAATCTAGAAACCAATTAGCCCGAAGGAGGAAAAAGAAGAACTGTATTCTGAGTGGGAGGAGGGAAGGCATTGTGAGCATTCAGATACAGCTTACAGAACTGAAATGCCACGTGGTAGAAACATTCGCATTTATTTTCATTGCTGTGGTGTAAGGTAGAGTGAAGAGGCTGAGCTGGAGTGAGAGGTGGGGCTTTTCTAGTAGAACAAGAGTTACAGGCATGGGTCAGGCTGTCCCTTCGGCTGCAAGACAAAGATTTCCTTGTGTCAGTGGCTGTGAATCATCCTTTGAAATGGAAACGGTTTGTAGATCTACTTTTACTCAGCACTTAGGTAGCTTTATGTCCGACTCTAATAAAAGCCATTAATATTCTGCTGATAAAAAGTCATGTGCAAAGGTAAGTATCCTCTGCACAATTAGTCCATTAAGAGGGTGTGGGCTGGGGATAAGTCTTCTAAGAATGTCACTCGATTAGCATGTAACTAATCAAAGTCTGAATCTGTAACACGCTTGATCATATAAGGACACAGGTGGCATCTGAAATTAATAGGCCCTTGGGGTGTAGAAGCTGTGAAATCGACCCTGTGGCCTCGTTTCCAGAGCCCTCTAATCAACAGGCCTCAATAGCTTTGGGCTAAAATGAAGTCATGCTTGCATTTCATAGCGTCTATCACTGGAAGTAACAACTAGCAGAAACACACAGTCAACCCAACCGTCATGGTGTCACTTGTATGTCTGAAGTCCAACCCCATGCCAAGAACATACTGGTCCTCGAAGCACAGCAAATATTATGCAGTCAAAGTGGGGTAGACTTGGAATGACAGACACTTGCCTTGGCTCTATCTAGTCTCTGGGGACAGGAGCTGGTGTCTTGAGACATGGCCTGAGTGGAAGGGAGCTGGCTTGAGGATGAAGCAGCATCCAGGATGACGCGGTGGTCTGAATGGGAGTGGTCTCCATTGACTCATGTGCTTGACTACTTGGCCCAAAGGGAGTGGCACTGTTAGGTAGTGTGGTCTTATTGGAGTAGGTGTGGCCTTTTGGGGGGGGGGAAATGTGTCACTAGTGGGTGGGTTTTAAGGTCTCAGAAACTCAAGCCCATTCACTTCCTGCTGCCTGCCAACCTGAATGTAGAACTCTCAGCTCCTCCTCCAGCACCATGTCTGCCTGCATACTGCCGTGCTCCCTACCATGGTGATAATGGACTAAACCTCTGAAACTGTAAGCCAGCCCCAACTAAATGTTTTCCTTTATACAAGTTGCTGTGGTCATGGTGTTTCTTCACAGCAATAAAGCCCTAACTAAGGCAGATGTGAAGGAGTCCTGCCCTCGGTTTCCTGTGAGTAGGAGCCACCTGTCTTGCTGCAGAAATCCCAGCATCTGAGCCTTTGGACAAAGCCCATCAGAAAACCATGGTGTTCCTGCTGAATCACAAAGGACCAATCGGCACTTGGAGACTCAACTAGGGAAAGATGGCTGACTCCGAGACAGCTACCTTGCCGAGTCCTTCCCCGCACCCCATCTCTTTGGTTCTTGTTGCTAATTCTTCAATGAAGCTGGCATTTTACTCTCCCTTCAATGTTCAGCTGTGTCTCCTAGATGAGCTTGAGACCGGTGTTCTAACATGCTTCTTACCTACACATACACTTGACCTTCCCTGCCTTGAGGGATGCTCTCTAGAAGCATGAAGAGTGTCCGTCTTATCCCCTGACTCCGAGAATATGACGCATGGCCACTTGTCCCTACAGATGGCCTTTTAAATCAGCCTTTCCTGAACACAGAAACTGAGCTTGGAAGATAAATTGGCAGTGGGTCACTTGTTGACTGGGTTATTCCAACCTCCACCCACTTACCCCACCCAATCCAGCCCTGAAGATTCTCCAAGCTTCAAGACAAGGTTGAATTCACCTCAGTGCAGTGCAGTGTCCCCAAGAAGGCCCAGGTGCCATCCTTTATCCGCTCCAGTGACCTAGTCACACCTCATTGTGCAGGTTCCTCCTTGGATGTCCCGTAATTGCTGCTTTGGAACTTACTTGCTCCTTGGAACCTTACCCATGATGTTGGTGTTCCCGTGGAAAGGAACCTTACCCATGATGTGCCCGGATGTGGGAGGCAGTTGGCACTTTCATATGCTTAATGCATTCCTGCCTTGCTTTCAGAAGGGGGCTTTCACATAGGTGTGTTTGGGGGGCAGATTGTTTCAAAAAGTGGTACATATATATCACATCAAACATTTTACCCACTTTTAATTGCACAACTCAGTAACATTAAGCACATTCACATTGTGTAATGATCATCTAGCTACAGAGTTTTTTCATCATGCTAGACTGAAACTCAACACTGTTAAGTATGAATTCCTATTTAACATCCTCCACAACTATCCCGAGATGACAACCGTCTATTTTTCTGTCTCTATGAGTTTGATTACCAGATGTACCTCGTATGAATAGGAGCACCCTTTAGGGTCTTCCTCAATTAGCATAACGGTTTTAAAATCCATCCACATGGTAACATGTGTCAGAACTGAATGACTTTTAAAGAACGAATACCAGCCCGCGGTTTGGATATACCACATTTTCTCTACCCATTTGTCCGTCCATGGACGCTCAGACAGCTTCCCCATGGACAGTGCTGCTATGAATTCGCCCGCACATGTGTCAGTGCTTCCTTTCCGCTGCTTTGAGTGCGCATCTAGAACTGGACACTACTCCATCATTTGATAATCCCATGGTTAGAGGGATGGCTATACTGTTGGCCATAGCAACTGCTCCACTCCTCCTCCCTACCAGCAGGAAACAAGGGTTCCAATTTCCCTGCATCTCCACGAACATTTGTTGTTTTCTGTTTCTAAGAGTCATTCCAATGAGTACCGCCGGGGCTTGCATCTCTTTCTAAGGTCGAGCATCTCTTCCGGTGCTTAGTGGACACAGGCGTGTCTTCTCCTCATGTCCTCCACTCGTTTTTAAGTTGAGCTTTGATACTGTGTTACTCTGGTTGTCAAATATGTTTCTCATCTAGATTGAGACATCCTTAGGAGACTCATAAGCAGTGGGCGGCCAGTGTCACCTACCGGTTGGTGGGCTCTGGCTGTGCAGCATGGCATGCCTGTGAACACAGCCGCCTATTGCCCCAAGAAAGAAGTCAACTTCGGAGACCGCAGTCACAAAACAGCCACACAAACACATTTGGCTCTGCAGGGCAAGAAAGGCCTTAGCCTGGCTTCAGGCTCTGGGGATCAGTCTGCAATAGCAGCCACCTGAAGCTGCACACTGGCCTCACCTGGGGTCCCCTTCCCTGGGATTCTAGGCCCCCAGGCCCGGCTGCTTTCAGCTTTTCAGTCACCTGGAACACAGCCTCATCCAAGAGAGTGGCTTTACCCAGGTCAACGCCCTTCCCCATGCCCCACCCCCACCCGGGCCAGATATACCGAACCCCTTTGGGAAAGGAGGTATGGCTTGGACGTCAGTATTTCTCCAAAGTGCCAAAATAACCAAATAATTTCCAAGCGCAGTCCAGCCGATGACTCTTGATGATCAAACACAAGGAGCGACCTGGTTGGAAACACGTGCCTCCATTTTTCTTTCTGGTTTCCTGGCTTGGTCCGTTGGTCCAAAGCTGGCAAGGGCTGGGTGGGATGGGGTGGGGGGATGTTTCTCAGACCTTTGATCGGGGGGGGGGGGGGGTAGACGACCCTAACCCGCACCCCTAGGTGCAGGGCGTGGGTCCAGCAGCATCCTCCTCCTCCCTGCCTGCAGCAGGGCTTCCCGCGTGTTCCCCCGCGCGCCCCATCTCTAAAGTAAACAGGGCGGAGGGGACCGGTGCCGCCCGCTCGCTGCCCGGCTGCAGCCGGCCGGAGCCATGGCCGAGGCGGTGCCGGCCTCCCCTGCGGGCAGCCGCGGCCTGCACCGGGGCATCATCCAGTGGTGAGCGGCGGGGACGCGGCACAGGGGCGGGTCGCCGCGGGCGGGGCTGGAGCCCAGGTCGAGGGAGAGCAGGAGCACCTCTGTCTGGGTCGAGGTCGAGGGCAGGAGGCCAGGGCTGAGGACGCCGGTCCCCACACACACGCGGTCCCCCCCACGCATCCGCACCGAGCTCCGGTTTTACATTTGGCTGTCCCCGTGGGTCACACTTCCCGTGGGAAGCAGTCCAGCTTGTCCCCGACCTAGGCCTGTTGGTAGGAGACCTGGAACGCAGGCAGGCGTTGGCCAGGGAGGAAACGTTTTTTTGTTTTTTTTTTCCTCCTGGCGTGAGCTCTAGAGTGGATGTGCCTGACTTAAAACAACTTTTAGCTTCAACAATGCATTCCATATTATTTATGAAATTCATTTCTTGGCTATTTAAATACAGAAAAAGAAAAAAAAACTAGAAAGAAAAATACTCTTCAGCCCGTGGGACTGAACTCAAAAGAGTCTGCTGCTCTTTATAAATAGGAAAATAATTGAAGCCAGTCAGTCCTCAGACCGTGGCTTTATAAGGTGACTGTTATACATCAGCCTACATTTTTATTTTTGTAAGTTTTAAGAAATATTTCTCAGGGAAAACTCTTTTTAAAGAGTCACCTGAGTAAGAAATAGAAAAAATGAAGAGTACGTTTACGATTATAGATAGTTATACTTCCTTCCAAAAAAAAAAAAAAAATTGCCGGGCGGTGGTGGCGCACGCCTTTAATCCCAGCACTCGGGAGGCAGAACCAGGCGGATCTCTGTGAGTTCGAGGCCAGCCTGGGCTACCAAGTGAGTTCCAGGAAAGGCGCAAAGCTACACAGAGAAACCCTGTCTCGAAAAACCAAAAAAAAAAAAAAAAAAAAAAAAATTATGGTCCTTCTCATCTTGAATGAGAAAAAACAACAGCAATATGTTTTCTTTTTTTTTGTTTGTTTGTTTTGTTTTTGATTTTTGTTTTTTCCTCACCTTCTTAGCAGGAAGAGTCAGCTTGGTACCTTAATTAACTACTTCAGCTCATCACTGCATTTCTGGGGTTTTGAATGTTGCTAGATAGATTAGAAAGAATGATTATAAAATTTAAAATACTTGGGCGTCCTCCTTAAGCTGGCTTGTGGTTTGGGACAAGGCAGGTGCCCCAAACCCCTTCTACAGATAACTGATGTCTTCAAGAGGGTGTATTTTTTTTGTTGTTTGTTTTGTTTTGTTTTGTTTTTTGGTTTTTCGAGACAGGGTTTCTCTGTGTAGCTTTGCGCCTTTCCTGGGACTCACTTGGTAGCCCAGGCTGGCCTCGAACTCACAGAGATCCGCCTGGCTCTGCCTCCCGAGTGCTGGGATTAAAGGCGTGCGCCACCACCGCCCGGCAAGAGGGTGTATTTTAACAGCAAGTCCAAATCAAGTCCCATGCCCAGAATTCTTAGGTAGGTGGGCCTCTGGCGACGTGTCCTTCAGGGCTGGGAGAAAAGACTGGAAGACTTCAATTCACCTAACACTGTCATTCAAAGTACTGCCCCAACTTCTAATACAGATAGCCTTGGAATGGAAGGGACCAGGCTCCCCAAAGGGAGGGGTATAGAGAGAGAGCAAACACGAAGAGCTGGAGCCCTGGCAGTCAGCTCAGGAGAGAGTAGAGAGGCCCCAACTGTCGTCCAGTGGAAGATGGGCCATGTGTCTGCATTACTTCACCCTGTGTCTTTCAGTCAGGGGTCTGTTGGGTGGACCAACAATGATCTATTAGTCAAGTGGGGTCCTAGCTAGGACATCAGTGCCCTCGTCATCTGCGCATGATAAATTATCCCCTGGAGAAATCGGGATGTTGGCTAGTCTAGGGGAATGGAAAGAAGAGGTTTCCATCTCAGAGACAGGAAGAGACACAGTCGGACTGGGGAACACAGGAATGGACATAGTACTGTGGGTACAGACCCTCGGGGCCTGGCTGGGATGGGCCTCGGCATCCAACCTCAGGTAAAACACAAGGACGTTTTGGTGGCACACTGGCAGCCCCTTACCCTGGGTCACCTGGGGTAGTGTTGCCTCACATCTTCTCTCCAGAGTCACATGCAACAGAGGTCAGGCTTCCCACACCAGTTACTCCTTGGGGTTGCGCTCTCCCGGAGACAGTCTACTTACACCTCTAATGCCTATGGCTTTCTTGCTTCTCTTTGGCATTTTGATGGGAGAGATAAAAATGGCAATCCCTGAGAAAATCAAGTTCATAAAGAAAATGGCTTACCCTGACTAATGGCTCCTCCAGAGGTTTCAGTCCAGGGTCACCTGGCTCCATTGCTTTGTGTCTGTAGTGGGACAGAGAGCATCATGGAGAGTTCCTTCCTGGAGCCATGCCGCTAATGGCAGCCAAAAAGCAGAGAGGAAGGTCCCAATATCCCCTTCAAAGGCACATCCCTGTGACTTAACTTCCTTACAGCAGTCCCACCATCCCCCCAAACACCATAAGGTAGTGGCCAGGCTGTTAGCCTGTGGGCCTCTGGGACCAGTTAACATCCACACCCTCCCACCTGAGTGTACACTGTGGTATTATTTTGCTTTACCAGGTCAATAATTCTCTGTCCTGTAGTTACGTAGCTCTTGGCTACAGTCTCTGTAAAGATTCATCAAAGAATATCTACTTCTTTTTAGCATGTGACTTCCCCTCCGATAAACTCCCAAACCTTACAGTGTTGACAACTGAAAACCTGTAGTCTATATTCCTAACACTGGCCTGAGGATAAAAGAGATCATTTTCTAGGCTGCTTGTGAGCTTCTGCTCCATTCAGTAACCTAGACAGAGGTCACTTGGCTGGACCCATGTATGGCCTGGTCACTGGCTCTGTCAGAGTACCCTTACTTCAGAAAAGTAGCCACCAATTTCCTCTTTCTGGTTCCCCTCTCTCTCTGCAGGCTAGTTGACAATTTCTGCGTCTGTGAAGGGTTTAGTGTGCCTCGATGTCTCATGTATGAGATTTATGTGGAGACCTGTGGGCAGAGTGCTCAGAACCAGGTTAACCCAGCAACATTCGGGAAGGTAAGTAGGGAGGTTTAGCGGAGCTGTATTCACTGGGGTGTTTGGGTTTTTTTTGTTTTTTTGTTTTGTTTTGTTTTGTTTTTGTAAGTTACAGCCCTGGGTGGCTTAAGTGTGAAGATACATTCTGAGAAATGTTGTTAGGGTATATCCTAGTTCAAATATAGACAGAGTACAGTGTTGCTGATGGCAAAGCCTTATGGGACCCCATATATGTAGAACTCTGCTGATTGCCCTTGAGGAAAGTCTAACATGCATTTGGGTTTAATGGGGTCTCAGCAGGTCTAGTTGGCTTTGTTCTCAGGAGGCACCAGCCAGTGGCCTCCATTTGTATTGAAAATCTGATGTACATCTCCATGCTTTACAGCAGTTTGGGAGAAAGTTGACGTACTCTTTTTGTGGCAACCCCAACATTCACCAAAGAGCTTGGTTTGCTGGGCACTTACTCCTGCACAGAGTACCAAAGCTCTCAGAACACAGTTCTAGTACCCAACAATTGATGCTCCCTGTACTTCAGTTGGATTTAGGGGACTCATTGGCTTTGGAAGTTAGCACTCACATCCAGGAACTTCATCTGAGAACCGTTGATACACAACAGAATGACAGTCTAAGACCCTCTTCGTTCAACAGCTCTTCTGAGCAACTGCTTAATGGTAGACCCTGCTTTCGATGCTGGGAATAAACAGTGAGGTTGACAGAGATCAAATCCAGCCCTCACTGCGTTCTAGTTGTTCAGGCTACCAGGCCTAGGCAGGTATCACCAGTGTTGTTTGATTGCTAGCAAAATAAACCTGGAGTGATTAAAACCAAGGGTCCCACAGCTGGTCACAATGCATGGTGAGCAGAGCTAGCCTCCTGAAACAGGTGCAAAGTTCTTTCCACTTGATTTCACCAAAAAAAAAAAAAAAAAAAAAAAAAAACCCTTGAGCACAGACATTGGCGATCACCTAGTCTGAGTGATGCCCAGGACAAGAGGAGCCTTCTAAGCACCTTCCCTTGGCTGTGAACGTCATTAAGAACCGTGTGCCCTCTCTGGACTGAGACCTGAAGCTAAGTGAAGAACAGCACATTTCTGCAAAGGAAAGGGTGCTGTTCCTCTGGACAAACAGCCCATGCGCTGGGATTTGTAGTTCAACCGACAGAAGAGATGAATTTCACTCACTTCCTCATCAGGGGGCTTGGCACAGTTGACAGCCTGCACCACATATCCAGGTTGATCTTAAATGACGAGGGTGACCAGGAGCTTGCTGATGGAGTCACAGAGCTGCCGACTCTGTTTCTCCCCTTTCTTTGTAAGGGGCCTTGTGCACACAGAATCGGATTGGTTGAAGGTGTCATTTGATCACTGGTGAATGTATAGCCTGATGGTTAAAAAATTCGTCATCGTCCTCATCGTCTTGTCTGGATAAGAAAAGCACAAGAGCAAACAAAACAAACAAACAAATAAACAAACAAACAAAAACAGAAAAACCAAACAACAACAACAAAAACAAAACAGGGCTCTGGTGGTGCACGCCTTTAATCCCAGCACTCGGGAGGCAGAGCCAGGCAGATCTCTGTGAGTTTGAGGCCGGCCTGGGCTACCGAGTGAGTTCCAGGAAAGGCTCCAAAGCTACACAGAGAAACCCTGTCTCGAAAAAAACCAAAAGAAAAAGAAAAAAAACGAAAAGCAAAGAACCTGATAAAGACAAAAGAATTAAACCAACCAGGGAGATGGCTCGCGGGGGAAGGGGCTGGAAGGGGCGTGCTGAACGAGCGTGAGGACCTGACTTCCGATCCCCAGCATCCATGCGAAAAGCTGAATATGGTGGTGCATGTCGGTAACCCCAGCACTGGGGACACAGAGACCGGTGGGCCCTGGGGTCTTACTGGCCTCTAGCCAGGTGGTGAGCTTTTCATCACTTAATAATATTACATGAAGAGCTCCTTTGATCCTTGTGTGACATTGCACTCACTTTGTGCAATCCCCTGCCGTGGGTGGACACTGGGACTGTTCCCTGATGTCCTTGTTGTAACCAATCATGTGCCTGTGTTCCGGTGTGTGAGTGAAATGATCGTCTCTTGGGCGTGAGACTGAAGAGTGACATGGGGAGGGTCACAAGGTGTGTGGTCGTGGGGACCAAAGTGTTCTCCAGGTAGCTCCCTTACCTTCCACTGGTAATCCTGGGGATGCCGGTGTGTTTTTCCCAAACACTGAATTATGTCGATCTGCTCTTCCAACTCAGTCCTCAGAGCTGAAGCGTCCAGTCTTTGATGACTCTGTGCTTGTGATAGGTGCTTGAACCTTCTAATGGGACAGCTGCTTGAATAATGGAAGTAACCGCTCTTACCGCCTTGCCTTGGTCACGACTACTCTTGGCTCCTAAAAGGCCACCTTCCTGCCTACCCATTTCATTGTGACTTCAGTTTGTGGATATTCCCCCTAAAAGTGGCTTCATGGATGCCACCCAGCGCCTCTATAGTGTGCTCAGACGCAGGAGTGTTTTCTTGTTTTCCGTTTGTTTCTTTTCTTTGGGGCTTTGATCCTTCTTGTCGTTCCCTTAGTTCACTTTAAATCTGTCACCAACAAAAATAAATCTTTTTTTTTCACATAAGTCAGAATGAAGTGTCAGAAGCTGTAAATGCTCCATGTCAGTAAACAGTTCAAAACCAAAGAGGAAGAGACATTCCAGGTCTCTTTATCACTACATCTCACGAGGTGACTCAGGAAGGTTTTCCAGCCCCTGGGAATTCCCACCTGCTATCACACAGCCCAAATGTCTGCGATTTCATCACTCAGAATTTTAGGAAACATCATCCAAGGCGCTGCAGAGTACTGGGTAGCCTGGCATACCAGTCTTCTCTCATCTGCCCACTTGCCGGTCTTCTCAGAGGGAACTAGGTGACGTCAGCAGAGCATGCTCTTTCCTGGGCTGAGATGGCAGAGACGTCTTCCCATCTCTCTGAATGGTGTCGTTAGAGTTTGTTCAGTTCTAAAAGAAAATTCTCTTCCACCCCCTTTTAGGATCTAGGGTCCGGGAATATAGCTCAGTGGCAGAACCCTTGCTTAGCATGGGGAACTCCTGTGTTCAGTCTCTGCACCAAACAACAGGAAAAAAAAAAAAAAAAAAAAGATCTTGTCCTGCCTCGTTTCACAGTGCAGCGCATTCCAAAGGAAAGAAATGAGAGACTCCGGTGTCTGACCTCTGCATTTATTTTGAATTCTTTGTCTTAATATTTCCCTTAGAGTCCACTCCCCAAGATGCCAAGGTTCTAACATTTAAGTTTGGTTGGCACGTTGCCTGGAGAACAGGCCAGTGGAATGGGACTGATTGTTGGGAATGTGTCCTGTGTGCCAAAGCCGTGGCTAAATGGAGAAGGGAAGGGGAAAAGGATATGACCGCAAAGCATGTTTACAAGAGAAACAGCAAAATATCCAATTCTCACTTCCTCCCTCCTCCCCCGGGAGCTGAGTTGAGTCCCAAGGAGTTCCTGCACAGATGATTCGGATGGGCATGCAGTGTGCGATGCGCATTCTGGCTGCAAAGGATATCTTCCATGGACTGGGGAGTTTCCGGAGGCCGACTTCCTCTGCTAAAATAACACGGACGAATGTTTTTCTGATTAGAAAAGGATTGCCTCTCCTTTGTGAGCAATGTAGACATCGAAAAGTGTTAAGAAGGGGGAAAAACATGCTGGCTGTAGCCTCACTATCAAAGGTATGACCACGTGCGTGGTCCATTTGCACACATGAGCACACGCTTGTGTGAATAGCAGGATCTGGGAGTGATCACAGACCTGGTTCTCATGTCCCTTGCCCCTGTGTGCCTGATGCTCTTCTGTTTCCCTCTGCCCTGATGAGCTAGTGAACAGGCAGCAGGCCTCCTTCGAAGCCCTGGGTGAGGCAAAATTCTCATCACCCTGGTCCACTCAACCACAGCAGCTTGATACTTGAAATGCCCACCCTCATATAGTATCCAGACTCTAGCACACCTTCCAAGTGGTGTGCTCACCCCATGTCCCAGCTCTGTGCCATGCCACGAAGAACCAGGTGTGGGGGCTTGTTTCCTGTCTCCTGTCTCACCCTGCTTCAGATGTTGGTTGAACCTTTCTGGGAGGAAGAAGGGAGAGGAAGGATAAAGAGGATGTACTCTTGTTTGTTTGTTTGTGTGTTTGTTTTTTGGAGACAGGGTTTTTCTGTGTTGTTTTGGTCCTGGATCCCACTCTGTAGACCAGGCTGGCCTCGAACTCACAGAGATCTGGGATTAAAGGCGTGTGCCACCACCTCTCAGGGAGGCTGTACTCTTTTAAGAGCCAGCTGGACCCTTTTTTTAAAAAAGGATGTATTTATTTTTATTTCATGTGCATTGATGTTTTATCTGTATGTATGTCTGTGTGAGGGTGTTGGATCCCCTGGAACTGGAGTTACAGACAGTTGTGAGCTGCCATGTGGGTGCTGGGAATTGAACCTAGGTCCTCTGAAAGAGTAGATAGTGCTCTTAACCACGGAGCCATCTCTCCAGCCCCAGCTGGACCCTTTGGTGATGGGTTCTTCAGTACCTGCCTTGAGCACATTTCAGTATGTGCCCCTCGGCTTGGGAGATACGTTTTCTGGTGGAGCTTACTGGTGTCTGCCTGCTTTCTTGTGTTCTGCAACTATACCGGAAAAGTCGGTGCTCTCCCGTACTCCAGCTCTCTCACACCTTGCTGACTTTGGGACACAGAACGTGCTTTGCCGCTCTTGGCCCGAGCAGACTGTGGGTAGTGTTCACAGAACCTAGAGCCTTGCTCTCTGTTTATCCACCAAGGCCCTTCTTGCCCGACCCACACGAGGTCTGGGTTGTCACAGATGGCAACTGCATTGACCTCACAGGAAACACTTGGAGCGACCGGACCACCCTTCCCATACACCCCTCTCAGCAGAGATGGCGGACCCTCAGTGAGAAGCCCTGTGCATTTCCTCATCTCCATGTCACTGTATGTGAATGAGCTCAGGAATTTTTTTTTTAGTTTTATAAGTAACTGCCCATTTTATAACAAAATGCCCACAGATACAAGTCCCAGGCTGTGTTGCCACACAGTTCACTGTTCATCCTCCTCTTCCTCCTTTTACTCTGTCGTCTTGTATAGATACTGCAAGGATAGAGTAGAGAGTGTCATACGGATGGCTGGTGGACTGATGGGTAGACAGACAGAAGATAGATAGATAGACGTATAATAAGTAGATAGATGGACGTATAATAAGTAGATAGATACTATAGCGAGAAATCCAAGGCAGTCTACTTCAGGGATCTAAGGGGTTTATTAGGACATAAATTGGAGAAAACAGCTCACTAAACAGAATAAGGCAAAATCGTCGCAGAGTCCTGGAAGGCTAATGTCCTGTCCCACACCGCTCCTGCTGCCCGAGTCAGTCCACACCATCCAACCCCCCCCCCTCCAGGGAGAGAAGAGAGAGAGGCATACGTGCCCCTCAGGTCTTAAGCTAGCCCCAAGGCCACACCCTAGGGGCTGGTACCTCAAGGTCATAGGTGCAACAGGTACCCACTACAAGACAGATAGACAGACAGATAGACAGGGATGAGAGAAAGATGAAAAGTCAGGTAAGAGGAAACCCCTTCTCGTTCCTCTCAAAGGCTGCTGCTGGAAGATAATACAAAAGGGAGGTGGGTGGTACAAAGCCGAGCAGGAGCTTGGCCGAGCATCTCTTCAGATAAAGTGCACACATCATTGGCAGTGATGTGGCTTTCCCTGTTCTGGCTCCCAAAGTGCCCCTACATGCAAGATTTTCTACTTCTAGCAAATGTGATACTGGGCCTGTGGTTAACCCCTTGATAAGGCAACTATGAGAGATTCCTGTTGATACATGGAACTTGGGCATCCCTGAACACAGGGCACATCAAGGCAACTCAGCCCAGAGATGTGAATTTGAATTTCAAGCAGCTGTTATTTCGACAGTTTAGTACCATTCGCTCGCAAAAGCCTCGGGAATGAGAAAAAGGGGGTGAGTCATGAAAATAACTATGACATCAGAAAAAGAAGAAAGCATTCAAACAACAGCGGCAGCCCGCAGGCTAGACCCACGCCGCTGGCGGTGGTCCACTTTCTAGAGAAGTTTCGTGACCCCGGTCAGTGGTGTAGCATTGAAGAGAGCAGAACGCAAGACGGCACATACTGTCAGATGCCGGCGATTTCGTCTAGAAACACAGAGAACGCATATTCATACTGAGACTCTAAAACAAAGTTTTGTTTTAGAGCAGTGGTTCTCAACCTTCCTAATGCTGCAACCCTTTAATAGAGTTCCTCATGCTGTGGTGACCTCCCAGTCATAAAATGATTTCGTTGCTGCTTCATAACTGTGATTTCGCTACTTGTCATGAATGTAACGTAAGTATCTGTATTGTCTGATGGTCTTAGGCCACCCTTGTGAAAACCCATGGGGGTCGTGACCCACAGGTTGAGAACCACTGTCTTAGAGGTTTGGTGCTGGGAATCTACGCCAGGACATTACACACCCCAGCCTGGACACCAAGGTTTATTTAAATGGCACTTTTCACTCCGTGACAAGTTTTACTTACCCGATATGTCCCCCTAATTTCATTTACATGTATACTTTTTAAAATCCATTATACTATTTGTAAGTATAGATAAAGTGAGTTTGTCTTCCCTTTTCAAGTTGCATCTTTAAATCTGCTTGTCCCCGCAGCTCGTGCGCTTGGTTTTTCCTGACCTGGGCACCCGGAGGCTGGGCACACGAGGAAGCGCCAGGTAGAGTTACGATGTTTGCTTTGTGTTAAGTGGCGGAAACAACAGTGTGGGGAAAATCACAACAGACGACAAAGCGTGTGACACGGAATAAGCTCTGGGTCACAGCTCTCACCAAATGGTGCCGCGGTTCAGCCCGAGTCCCTGTGTCGGGAGTGACGCAAGGCAGCGCTACATTCATTCGCTTCAAAATCTTATCAAAATATGATCACGATATACACTTTAAACGTTTAGAAATGTGTGTCCACTTATTAAAATGTTTAAATAGTTGCACATGTAGAATAATGCCAATTGTTTTCAATTTCTCTTTGAATTGAAATGTCTAAATATTTGGTCAGTTAGCCTATGGGTTATACTCAAGAGGCTGGGGCCCAAGGTGGCAGTTTTAACAGGAACTTCCAGTGCCATCAAATGTGTCCTTATCATAATTACCAGGCAATTATCATTGTCATTTGTTGTTTGTTTTCAATCAAGACAGGAAATCAGTGAGCAGGGACAGAAGCCAATTAGAGGGAGGTCTGGCTGCCCACGAAGACATTGAGACCGTGGAGAGTTTGCCAGATCTAACCTTGGCAGTAATTACGTTGAAGAAATCTGGTTCTGTTGTTAGCCCGGGCACACTGCTGTCATTACAGACTCCACAGAGGAGATGGGGCCTTGAGGAAGGAGTCTGGCTTTCTGCAGGCTGAGTCCTGGGAAAGGTGCGAAGGATGGTAGGACAGGAAGCCCTAGGACATCTCTCTGAGATGAGCAAGTTTGACACTGAGAAAGCAGAATTGAGCACGCAGCAGCCCTTTCGTAGGGCTATTGAAATGCGTAGGATGATGGGCTTGGGCTTACGATGGGTCAGAGACGCGATAGGAACACCTAACCTGCCCGCTGCCATCACACTGTGCACACAAATGGTGTACTTGAGCCGGGCAGTGGTGGCGCACGCCTTTAATCCCGGCACTCGGGAGGCAGAGCCAGGCAGATCTCTGTGAGTTCGGGGTCAGCCTGGTCTACAGAGTGAGATCCAGGATGGACTCCAAAGCCACACAGAGAAACCTTGTCTCGTTAAAAAAAAAAAAAAAAAAAAAAAAAAAAAAAAAAAGCATGTGCTTGGCCATCCAGTAACGGAGACCCTCTGCTTTTCAGGTATCACTATGATGGAATCTATATCAAGAAAAGTTCTTTCTTCTACTCCCATTACTGCCACCTCCTGGGTAAAAAAAGCTGTCACAGGTCAGTGTCTGTCCTTGAGGACCTTGCTCGTGGGACATAAGCCTGGCTTCTTCTCTTTTTTTAGCTTTTATTGATTCTCTGTGGATTCCCTACTTTTCTCCCTGTCCCCTTGCATCCACCCTCTGCCCTCGAAACCTACAAAACAAAACCAAATTTAAAAGAAAAACCCAAAGTCAAATAAAACAAAAGAAACTTAACAAAGATAAAAATAAAAACAACAACAAAAAGAAGAAGAATCTTGTCGTGGAAGCTGTAGCGAGGTCCATTGAGACACACGGTTTACCCTTTAGTCCGATCATCTTTACTTGGAAGTGTTCATTGCTACGAGTCATTGGTCTGGCTCTGGTCTTGCTCAAGGACTCTGGTTTCGGCTACACCACAGATAATGGGCTCTCACTGAGGCTCCCCTTGGACATCCTGTTGTTGTCCTGTGTTGTGGAGATCCTGCTGTTTTGGATCCGTAGGTCCGTCCCCATCAACTGCTCCAATAGTTCACAGATTCGGTGGATGTTGGGGTGGGCCAACTCATAGCCCTGGTTCTGGGCCTGGGTGGTAGCTGGGTTGGTCAGCCTGCTAGCTCTCCCTTATCATCATTACCCAGGCTAGCTCTCCAGCACTGCTTTGGCTAGCTCACCCGAAGCAGCCTGCAGCAAGGGGCGGGGCCAGCTCTCCAGTTCCCCTGCTCTCTGGCCCTCAGATCCAGGTCCTCCTCACTCACATCACCAGGGCCAGCACTATGGTTTTGCCCACGCAAGGTGCAGGGTCCTCTCTCTAGATTGCTGTAGGGGGTATATGGGGGGCTAGGGTCAGCTCTCCTGCTCTCATGCCCCCTCAGGGCTGGCTCACCTCCGACCAGACAACAGGGTCAGCTCTAGTGTGCTGCCCAGGCAGGGTGCAGGGCCCGCTCTCCTGTGTGCTGTAGCTGGTGTAGGGCAGGGCTGGTTCTCTCCCTCTCTTGACCCCGGGGTCAGCTCTCTCGCCTGCCAGGCTGGTTTCTGTGAAAATCATTCCAACTTTAGTGGTACCTAACTGATCTGTGGGCTGTTCTACCTCAAATCCTTGTTAGGGCAGAAACGTACACCACGTGTGGCCGACACACCTCGTCAGCCTTGGCAACGTTATTGGCCAGAGTAACCCATTTCCAGTTGACTTTGTTAGGCAATTCATTCTAATCATTTTCCTAGTCACCCAAGCCATTTCTCCTCAAGTCTTCCTGGAAACATCATTGTCCTCAGGGCTCCATGTGTCCCCTCCCCCAATGCTACACTCTCTTTTAACCTCTGACCTTCCCAGTAAGTGCAGGTCTTCACTCCAGTCAGCCCCAGGAGCCTCTGACCGTCTACCTCTCGCCGTCCCTTCCCCCCACAAGGATGTTGCTCTGCCTTGTTCTCTCCGGTCCTCTCCCTGCCCACTCCCTAGGACTCCCTCTCTGCCTGTTTGCTGGACATTGAGATGACGCATGGGAACCTCGCACTCGGGGAATGGAAACATCAACTTAGAACCTCCCTGAAAATTGCCTCCTCTTCCCGACTTTCCATTTATGATACTCACAGTCACCCCAAGCCACTGCTGACTGCACTGGGCTACAGATCCTTGTTTCTTCTTCCCCTTTAAGGAGACTGATATTTCATGTAAGCCCTTGTCATCCTCCTCAGAGAGCGGTCGTGTTACGGCTCCATATCTACAGATTGAACCACACTGAAGGTTCGCTATCCTCAGATTCAACCAAACCGAGACCATGTGCTCAGCAGTTCCCCCTGTGATCTTTGCATTTGTCCTAAGCATGCACAGACATCTCGTCTTATGACTATGTCCTAAATAATACAGCATAAGAGTTACTTGCACAGCATATGACATTGTTTTCGATATGAAGTCATCTAGAGATGGCTTCAAGCATACATGAGGAGTCACTTAGGGCCTTTGCAGACACTCCTTTTATATAAGGGACTTGAACATTGGAGGAAGTCTGGGGCCAGTCCCGTGTGAATGCTGAGGGCCAGCTGGATTCCCATGGACCTCATACGGCCACCCTCTTCTCAGCCTCCCCCTACTCCAAACACAACCACCAGACCAAGCTTCCCAGTTTGCTCGCCTCTTCCCCTCCCAGAAGCACCTGAGGTACAGACCACCCAGTAGGTACCACTGGCAGCCTTCCAGTCCTGCCTCCTTTTCTAACCACACTGCTCCCCTCCTTAGTTGTCTACTGGGCCTTCACTTGGCATAAGTAGGCGATTGTACATCTGAGAAACCAAGGGCAATTTCTTTTCCACGTGGAGCATGGCATCAGCAGCAGCAGCAGCCCATTCTCTCTCAGAGTCCTCTCATTTTGACAATAATAGGTTTCTATGAGGGTCCCTCCACGGAGAGTAGCTGCTGAGGTACTACGTTGAGAAGCCTGTGGTGTGGATGAGGCATGGCCCCTTCCCTCTGCTCGCTTAATAGGAGAGCTAAGATGCGTGTTTAATGTGATGCACACGTAAGTGTCAGAAATGTACGAAGTCCCCATGAGAAGGGGAACAGACATTCTGACAGGAGTCGTAAAGGAATGATGAGGGAGCTGGGCTTCGAGCTGAGCCATGCAGGACAGACAGTGGGATTCTGACAGGTGACGTGGGAGAGGGCAGCAGGCATGGCTTGGGTAGAGAAGAGGAGGGGACGTGAAAGCTTGCGCTTTGTGCTGTGCAGCTGTGGAGTGTGGCAGAATATGAAGTTGGAAGGCAAGTGAGAGGCCATGGCCTGCGAGGCTGGTGCTGGGCTGGTCCAGGGGCCTCTTAAGAGACTGTGTGACCTCATGAGTCTTCACAGCAGCAGAACCACAGAGATTCATTTGTTTTACCGAGCTGTGGTTTGAATACACTTGTGTCCCACCAAACTTCAAGATGAACTGAAATCCACAATGTAATAGTGTTAGGAGGTGGAGCCTTATGTGCACACCCATGCACACACATCCACACATATATCTGCACACGCAAACACACTGTGTGGGAGGGTAGCCTTTGTGAGTGATTAAAACTGTAAGGACAATACCCTCATGAATGACATTCTGTCCTCATGAAACAGCTTGGCCCTTTTGTCTCTTCTGCTCTGTGAGAGTAGAGCATCTGTCCCTTTTGCTCCTCTGTCATCCGCTATGGAGGTATATCAAGCACGATGCCATCCATCTTAGAGCCTTAGAGACAGAGAGGGCGCCTCCACCAGACATGGACTCTGCTGGTGTCATTACCGGACTTCTCGGCCCCCTGATCCGTAAGAGAGAAATTTCTTTTGTTCATACATTGCCTCACTTATGGTGCTGCAGAGACAGAGATGTACCCCCCAGTCAAAGCAGGTACTGGAACAGTTGCTGAAGAATTGAAAACTGCCAAGTGAGGGTTCAGAAGAACAGATCAGGAAAGAAAGTGATGGGTACCTGGGCCCCACAGTCGTCAGAAGTGTGCTCACCAACCAGGAGCGGTTCAGAAGCCCTGAGACCAGCTTCTCAGGATCAGCAGCCAGGGGACTCCATGTTGAAAGGAGGGGAGAGAAATGACACAGCCAAGCATGTCCTTCAGTCTTCAAGTCCACTTCAAACGCACTCACCATGCTCCGCCTCCAATGGCTCTTCCCCTACACCTCCCAGCCATGCTTAGTCACAACACCTAAAAGGCCACGTCATCAAAAACATCAAGAGAGGGAAGAGATGGATTTCAGTCACCCTGGAGCATTCTGGCCGACTCGTCACCTCTGTATTTTCTTGTTCACTCAAACCAGCCTGCTGTCTGACATCCTACAGACATCCAGGCAGCCTGGAATGCTATAAAGAAACATCTGACCAGCAGGCATCCACAGTGGTATGGGCTGTGGGCACACAGGGAGTCTGCACTTGTTCAGTGGTACAGAGACAGGCCCGGAGGTGGGGTGGGAGTGGGGATGGAGATGGCTTTATCGTCACTGTGAGAGAAAAGTACCCACGGACAGAGCTAAGGACAGGGAAACATGACCTATCCCTGGACTGTGTGACCACATGTGCAGACATTTCTGTGCACACTGTCAACTACTACACTTGGACCAGAGGAAGGCTTTGCCTTTCCTCCATGGGTCTGAGGCTCTGGAGTCCTTGACAAGTCAGTGCCAATGTCAAGAGCACACATTCACTCAGGGCCTTCCTCCCCTCCCTGTGCTGGCATGCCACCCTGGGCTTCAGCCTTGCAGTGTTCTGGCACATCTGTCAACCCCTGGCTTTGCTCTCCTCTCTGGGGGGTACAGGTCCTGAGGGGGCCTGGTTCTCTGTATGCCCTGCTGAGTAGGGAGGTGGGCCTGGGTTCTGCTAGCTTTCCTTGCCCCTGTGGATAGCAGAACCTGCCCATTTGGTGCTCCAGATGTGGAATGGGTACTGAGTCAGCCAGTGGGTCACCCCTGGATGGGGTTTAGGGGCTATCACAGCTAGAACTTTGAGACTGCTGCTGTGGCCATTGTATCACCTGTAGTTTTTTTGTTTTTTACTCTTTTGACTCTTTACTCTTTGGGGGCCCGCCACCCAGCTCCCAAATAGCAACACACAGAGAGACTTATTCTTATGAATGCTCGGCATTAGCTTGGCTTGTTTCTAGCCATCTTTTCTTATCTTAAATTCTCCCATCTACCTTTTGCCTCTGGGCTTTTATCTTTCTCTATTCTATATACCTTTCTTTGTTTCTTACTCTGTGGCTTGCTGTGTAGCTGGGTGGCTGGCCCCTGGGGTCCTCTCTCCTCCGTTAGCTCCCTGATTGCCTCTTCCCAGATTTCTCCTCCTATTTATTCACTCTGCCTTCCAGCCCCGCCTGTCCTTCCTCCTGCCTCACTGTTGGCCGTTCAGCTCTTTGTTAGACCAATCATGTGTTCCAGACAGGCACAGTCGCACAGCTTCACAGAGTTAAACAAATGCAACATGAAAGAATGCAACACATCTTTGCATCATTAAACAACTGTTCCACAGCATAAACAAATGTAACCCATCTTCAACCAATGTTCCACAGCAGTTA